TTCGGCCAAGTTAGCTTCCGTCCAAGCCGCTAAGAACGTGCAATGAAGTATTGAGTACGAGAAAGAAACCAATTCAAGAGAGCGTCGTCACGAGGTAAGAGCTCTCCGAACTCGCTAATGAAGCCAGAAGAGAGCATCCCCAGCAACGAACTCTCGTAGTCCGGGTGGAACTCGTCCAGTTGTCGAGCTTGACGTCGTAGCATTCGCTTGCACTCCTTGTTGTTGCTCAGATAACGCGCCGTGCCCTCCAGAAAGCGGAGACCTGGAGTGTCTTTAGAGCTTTGTTTCAAGTAGTGGATGTGGCGAGGAAGCACCTTGGCCAGAAGATACTGAGCCAGTACGCGAGTGTAGCCATGAGACGTATTCAACCACGGCAACATGGTCTCCAGCAGTTCTCCAAAGTCGACGTCAAGACTGTTGTCGTCCAGCTTGGTGTCCACCAAATACGCCGACACAAGTAACAGTGAAGCGCCCACTTGTGGCATCAGATTCGCATCGCCAAGCATGGGCAGCAACACGCCAGAGCAAATTTCCGTTGGGAACTTGGCAGCCATCCGCATACCGAACAGCTCCATGTAGTAGCGAACACTGGGCAGTTGAGGCACAGCAAATGCAGTAGCTAGAGTAGGAAGCAACTCTGTCAGCTGCGACTTGGTCACGTGTGCACTGACGATGCAGAGAGCCTGCCAGGAGCGCAGTTTCTTGCCGAACCCATCGCTGTTGAGCATGTGTTGCTTCTGCCACTCAGGCGTCACATTGAGCTTCAGAAGTCGAGCTGTCAGAGCATCAAAGAGCTGCTGCGTATCGTTACTGGACGAGCTCTTGTCGACAGCGACGTCGTCCACGAAGCTCAACATGACAAGCCGCACAAATCTGTCCTTGGCGTGGGTCGTGACCGCTGCTGTCTGGTTGCCATCGAGAGGAGAATAGCCTTGGAATCCTTGGAATGGAGCACCCGCATCCGTTGCCAGCTGCTCCTTCTCGTCGATCAAAGGTTCCTTATACAGCAGCAGCTCCACCAGCTCGTCTACAAAGGACAGAGCCGACACTGGGTGTGCACGCCACGTTTGACATAAGCGACACGCCAAGTGGAAGACCACATTGGGTCTGTGTCTCGAGCCAAAGCGGATAAACTCTGCCAGCCAGAGCTTCATCGTCGAAGTCAGCTCAGCTCGCAGCAGGAATACTGGCTGGAACATACACGTCACGACAGCTCGAGTGAGGGTGTCAGGCTTGGCCTTGCTGTCGTTGTACGCCGTCCAGCCTTCCTCTAACAAACTATCAATATCCTTCGAGGCCTGGACCAGTGACCCAGCCAGTTGTGCCAGCGTGAGCGACAGCACGTTGACCATCTGAATCAACGCCGAAGGGTTCATGCCGGCAGTGGGCAACGCCTCGACACACGCGTCGTAGGTCGCTCGAAGTAGTTTCGTGTCGATGAAAGACGAGGATTCCACGACACGATCCAGATAGGATCCACAGGACGCATCCTGCCCTTACCGTCGCCCCCACACGCTTGGCTTGTGCTGGAGTAGGTGAATGGTAGAGTGAGAGACGACACTGAGAGAGCGACGGGGTGCCCGCAGGTCCCAGCAACCTCGTAAAATGGATACTGCTGAGAAACGTTACGAACTTCGACAATGGGTGCCAATCATTATTACGAAACTTAAACTTCAAGAATGGTTTAATAATGGGTGCCAATCATTATTACGAACCTCAAACGAGGGGCTGCCAGTCATTCGGCAACCGGAAACAATGGAAAGCGCCGACAAGAAATACAGCGAATCAATAGAAGACGTTTGGCATTCCTATGCCTCCTTCCCTAGGGCTCAACTCCGCGACCGCTGCCTGAATCCATCCTCGTGGTGGTGTGTCTGGTTTTGCAAAGGAAGACTTCCATACGAAGCTCCTTATTCTCCAATCCGCCTCTTGTGGCAGTGTTTTAGTTGGCCATGCATGCCTCGCCACATACAGCAGTTTGGGAATTATAATTGCCGCTGCGATAGCAGCTCTCTCTTGGACCGAGTTGGATTTGTCCACTGCCAGTGCCAGTCGGGTGGTCAGCGCCGCGAAGGCTTTTGTCCATGCACTCTGTGTTGTGTCTTCTGGTCCTGTGATGTGTCCGAGATATCTCGTTTCTTTGACTTCCTCCACTGAGTCCGCTTCTTCCCCCGCCTGTTTGTTCATGCTCGTTGGCGTCCCTAGTTGTAGGGCGACAGATTTCTTCAAATTGAGCCTGAGGCCTGATACATCTGAGAAAGTCTGTACTACCCCAAGCGCGATTCTCTGCATGCTCGAATTTGCTATGTAAATTGCAGTATCATCCGCATATCCTGCCACTCGTATCTCTTCTCCATCCTTGTCTTTCTCCAAGCTTAGTCCCTTGAGCCTCTGCTCTTGATGCACTGCGTCGTACAGGAGGTCCACTGCCAGTATGAATAACAGAGGGGCTAGAGGACACCCCTGTCTGATGCCGCTTGTGACGGCTATTGCCCTTGATAGAGTCCCGTTGGCCATGAATTTCACCGTCGTGTTTTCGTGTGTCGCCTTGACTATCGCTCTAAATTTGGATGGAAATCCTTTCGCCTCCAGGACCTTGTGTAAAAATTCCCTATCCAACGAGTCGTAAGCTTTGGCGAAGTCGAGCAATAGCACTTGCGCTCTTTCATACTCGCTCATGCCCTTCGCCGCCAGCTTCGATGCTTCCAGCAGATCAATTGCTTCGTGGATT